CTTATTCAGGTGTTCGTGACACAATTTGCTGCGTTTATACATGCATAGTTCAGCTGTATTGAGTACGGCTCAAAGCTGAAGCCAAACAAATCACATTTAGGACCGTTCATAATTTATGGCTGGGGTGTGGGGGGTGATGATGATTTTAGGGGGTGGGTGAGCAATTTTGTACGTGACAAAATTTAAAAATGATGCTTAAACATAATGGGAATAGTGGGGGCCGTGGGCGGTCATTGATTTTGTACATTACATGCTGCTTGGGGGGTGTCACTTATTTTCTACATATTCACGTTGCACATGCTTCTCCATTGATTGCATAGTTCAGCTGTATTGGGTACGGCTCAAAGGTGAAGCCAAACAAATCACATTTGGGACCGTTCATAATTTATGGCTGGGGGTGTGGGGGGTGATGATGATTTTAGGTGTGTGTGTGTGTGTGTGAGCAATTTTGTACGTGACAAAATTTAAAAACGATCCTTAAACATAATGGGAATAGTGGGGGCTGTGGACGGTCATTGATTTTGTACATTACATGCTGCTTGGGGGGTGTCACTTATTTTCTACATATTCACGTTACACATGCTTCTCCATTGATTGCATAGTTCAGCTGTATTGGGTACGGCTCAAAGGTGAAGCCAAACAAATCACATTTGGGACCGTTCATAATTTATGGCTGGGGGTGTGGGGGGTGATGATGATTTTAGGTGTGTGTGTGTGTGTGTGTGTGTGAGCAATTTTGTACGTGACAAAATTTAGAAACGATCCTTAAACATAATGGGAATAGTGGGGGCTGTGGACGGTCATTGATTTTGTACATTACATGCTGCTTGGGGGGTGTCACTTATTTTCTACATATTCACGTTACACATGCTTCTCCATTGATTGCATAGTTCAGCTGTATTGGGTACGGCTCAAAGGTGAAGCCAAACAAATCACATTTGGGACCGTTCATAATTTATGGCTGGGGGTGTGGGGGGTGGTGATGATTTTAGGTGTGTGTGTGTGTGTGTGTGAGCAATTTTGTACGTGACAAAATTTAAAAACGATGGTTAAACATAATGGGAATAGTGGGGGCTGTGGGCGGTCATTGATTTTGTACATTACATGCTGCTTGGGGGGTGTCACTTATTTTCTACATATTCACGTTACACATGCTTCTCCATAAAGATCAGCATCCCACCCCATCAATTATGAACTACCCCTTAGATAAAAGTGTTGACAACAAAATATTGTAATATCATTCAAGCTGAAAGGCAAGGAGGGTATGTGTCGGATATATAACTTCCATCACTGAGAATGAATGCTGTCAATCTAGTGCTCATTATGTATATATCTTACTTCTATAAGCATAAGTTAATATCAAAGCCCATTTTGTAGATTGAAAGTTATAAATACATTTATAAATGTGAGTGAGTGAGTTTAGTTTTACGCCGTTTTGGGCAATATTCCAGCAATATTTACCGAGGGGGACACCAGAAATGGGCTTCACACTTTGTACCCATGTGTGGAATCGAACCTGGGTCTTCAGCGTGACGAGGGTATGCTTTTACTACTCGGCTACCGCCATTTATAAATGGCGCATTTCTATGAATATTTATGTACAAGGTATGGCTTCAATATAACCAGTTCATTTGACAGACAGGTAAACGTGCTGATTTTGAATTCTTCGAGAATCAACACAGGTATAAAAAGTACTGGGCATCTAAACCTGTTTAAAGGTGATACGTATGTACAATAGTTATACCAATGAGACTTACGGCCGTCAGTGACAGTGTCAGTGTATAGACGAGTTTCTAGGAATTGTGTTCAGCGACATATTCTTTGAAAATGCACTTGAATGAGTCAATTTCAATGAATCGTATATAGGTAGACCAGTACCCGTTCCTAAGAATTACATTCAACTACATATTCAATGACGGCTTCTAAGAATTACAGGGCATTCTCCTGAAGAACCTGTCCCGGAACATACACAGTTGCCATAATTGAGACTTTGAAATGATTACAGTCAGAAAATATAACAGAGCAAAGGCCAAATGAAAATAAACGACCAACATAAATCTCTCTCTCTCTCTCTCTCTCTCTCTCTCTCTCTCTCTCTCTCTCTCTCTCTCTCTCTCTCTCTCTCTCTCTCTCTTTCTCTCTCTGTGTACAGTTACAGGGGTGTTACAAGAAGACCTTCATTTGCATGGAACACTGGCTAAATAATCACAGCCGTGTACTTTCGCAAAATAGTATTTGATCAAATAGATAAGCATCTGTTGCAACGCTTTTGAAATCTGGCATTGGAAGTCCGAAATTTACGAAATATACTAAAATCAAATTTTACTCACTGACGCGTAAAATGTCACAACTTATGATATCAGGAAATGGGTAAAGCGAATGTTTTCTGTAAATGTTGTAGAAGTCGTACCAGTTATGCAGCTGTTGAGAATGTGCCCCTGCACCGAGCGCAAAGTCCTGCCCGTATTGGTGTTGTGGTGGTAGCTATGCCGCTGCTCAACACACATACACAACTCACACACAGCATATTGACTAGACGTTGCATTATTCCCTACAGAGTACTCTGGAGATCCTACAGACCATTTCGCAGACACTTTCTTTCAATAGCATTTACATTTAAGTACGCAATTCATTGCTTCAGGTGTGTGATTGGTTGAATAGATCAGGTAGTTCGAACTGACTGACGGTTGATGCATACACTTGGTATAGTGTACACTTGGTCGAGAGATCTGTGTGGATATACTGCTGTGCGCTGTCAGGTAACAGATATTTATTTAACTATTCAGATAGTGTGAGTTGAGGGTGGTGCGTGTAGTGCAGGGCATGCTTACCCTTTTCTCGAACATCTGGTGTCATCACTGATTTTTAGGGATCTATTCATAAAATATTCACCTCGATATTGCCTTTACCTTCCAATGGAATCTCTTTCGGAGAGTGGTTATGTTCTGCCGTTGAGGTTTTGTAATGTATTAAACGAATAGTTTTGTTCGCCTTCGAATGTCAAGTGCACAGGGTATATCAATTTTATCGTGATTAATATCATCGAGACAATTGAAAAATAATTCATTCGTCCTCAGTTCGATTAAAAACACGCCATGTTAATCATAGTATACAATCCAATTACAACCTCAGTTCGATGTTAGTAGTCATAGGAAATATGTTGCTAAGGACGTCACTTCCTTAAAGTTTAGTTTTCAACACGCGTCTACTTTCGGTCACTGCTCAGTTTGCTTCCAGTATTATCAAAACAACTTAAGACAGAATCAGTATATTCCCACTGGCAACCAGTAAAAATATAAAACTGGACAATATATTCATTCCAAAAATAATTTCTGTGAAAATTGAGATCGGACACTTTGATTAGCCACTCATTAGATACACGGAGCTGCAATTATTAACGCAGTGGAGTTTTACCGCTTAGTCTATTATTTATTTGCATTAACATTCCGGTTCCAAGAGCTTCCACGCGCTTCCGGGACAGATCACTTTTGCTGAACAAACAGTTTCAGAGTTAAAGGGTGCCATTGGTTCAAAAGAGAATAATAAAATAATAACAGAACTTTTCGGCAACGTGTGCGCTTACATGTAAATGTTGGAGGTTCTCGCTCCCACGTCCCGTTGTAACCGCAGGTGTTTTCGGAAGTCCCGTTCAGTACGTAGCCTGGAATACACGAATACGTGCAACTATCTCCGTACTTCCCTCCCTGAATACATTCTACACTCCCATGCCTCGGACTGTGCAAGATTCCACACCTGCGAACTGGAGTATATATGTAACAGTGAAAAAAACCTCAACTCGTGTTATTGATCACTGGATTGTCTGGTCCAGACTCGATTATTTACAGACCGCCGCGATATTGCTGGAATAATTGCCAATCTCGCTCACTCACTTTTGTGCCATCGACAACGAGACAAATAGTTTACTGTAAGCGTACTAATTGCATTTATGCAACTGAAACCAAATAATGAGTTGAAAGTACTCTTCACTGTTAGCACTACCGTTTCCCTCGTTTCAGGAACAAGAATGGAGCGCAGTTTACCATTCTGCTTGTTGCTTTTTGCAGGTAAAAAAGTTCACGTTTTGCTCCACTTCGAAAACGTTTGGTTTTGCTTGCAATTAATATAACTCACGCTTTTGGGATATCACTGTTAGTAAATCTACAATGTTATCACACATTGTGTAGTAACATCGCCTGCTGTCGGAACTATTGGCACTCATGACAGTGTAATATCTATTACTGCATTATGTCAGCAAAAGTGCAGTACAATGGTTCTGGAGCTTACCGCAACACGCTTGATATGCGGTTTACAAAGCCATTTGATAAACGAACACCATAATCAATGTGCTCTAACGCTTCAAGACTCTAATATGTTTTTTGGCTGTTTTGTATTTACAGTATTCCTTGACGACGTGAACAGTTGTAGCAGAAGTGAGTGTACACAAGACTGGCGTTAGGGGGTAGTTAAAGATATATTCTTTCCCCAAAATACTGGATAAATGTATTTCATGAAGATTTACAGAAAAAGAGTGTTTGCATGGTGGCTCGAAGAAAAAAGTGTAGATCTTGGCGGCAGATCTGAAACATATGTTTATCTCTGACAGATATTTTGTCCGTCAATAGATCCCCAATAGTTGGCCCCTAAGCTTATTCAACAAGTGATTGATTTAAACATATGTTATTCACAAATGTGAAACAAGTAATGATCTTACCATTATTCGACCCTAACACAAAACTATGATATAAACTAAGTCAGATAAGTTGATAGGAAGACAAAAATAGAAGTGCAAGATTTGCGAGAAACTCGTATTTCAAGGTAACCATTACATTTGGATAACTGCACGAAAGTTACTTTTCAAATGAAATGGTTTGAATTTCGAGACCAACCTGATTATCTTTAATTGAAATATATCCTTATTTCAAGGGATTTTGTTCGATTATATATATATATTAGTTTAAAAAACGAGTCAGTGTTTCTATTTATTTTATATTCTATATTGTTAAGCTGTCCACAAAGTTGTGTATGTGGTGCGGTCTCCCCCGGAACCGTTCTGCCCAAACATCTCTCCTGTCCACTACACTTCTCCAGGGAAGGTCACTGCTATCGTTACGTGGTCTACTGCCGCGGCTACACATGCGATCATGTAAGTGTTTAGATTATAATACAATACGAGTGGGCGGTGGGAGAGTCTAGTCGTTACGATGTTTGCACGTCACGCCGAAGACCCTGGTTCGATTCTCCACATGGGTACAGTGTGTGAAGCCTATTTGTGGTGTCCCCCTCCGTGATATTGCTGGAATGTTGCTAAAAACTAAACTCACCACTCACACTGAAATACGAGTCGGGCACATCGCCACTTTCATCAGTTTGATTTGGTTTTTGTTAAACGTTGCCAACTCGTATTGTTGTAAAACTGTCTTACTCAATGCCTCAAAGCAATTACGGGAGTACTGTTTAGTAGTGTTTTGATAGTTTCCTTTCTGCTTTTATAAAATTATGCTTAATGGATGAAAGGTATATGTTAGTTTGGTTTGCTTATTTGTTGTTTATCGCCGCACTCAGCAATATTCAAGCTATATGGCGGCCCAAGCTATGTGTATCATCACGAGAGGCATACATATCGCTTTCTTTCTCTTGTTTCTTCTTGTTATTGTTATTGAGTTTCACAATAAAACGAAATATAAAACTTATAAATATAGTTTTATTGGTCAACAGACAGACTGAAGGTCCACGCTCAGGGTCAGCGTTACCTGAGGGTTCGTACAGAGTGACCTACAAGACCACAGATGGAGGTCAATCATCACAGTGCAGTGTGTTATTCGCTGTTGAGAGTAAGTAAGACTTTTTTATAAAATATCTTAAAAACTGACGATTGATTTACAGCATATATTGAGAATTAAATAATTTTGTGACGAAGTGAGTCGAAATGAAATAGGTTCAACATTGTGTTCAAGAACTTTTTAACATGTATAGCGACATACAATCACTTTACTGGTTTGATAGTGTTTGTCCACTGTCGAAATTAGGGTCGTGGGATAACCTAATGGTTATAACGTTCGCTCGTCACCCGGGTTCGATTCCCCACAAGTGTAAAATGTGTGAAGCCCATTTCTGGTCTTCCCCGCCGTGATATTGGTGGAATATAGCTCAAACCAGCGTAAAACCATTCACTGTCGAAATTAAACATGGATATCATACTCAGACACGTTATACTGGCTCGACGGCAGCCATCTTTCTGCTCTCTGGATATGACATGGCCTTAGACGTGGCCTTAAACATGGCTTTAAACATGTAAAATTCCTCGAGCTCGAGGTGAAGAGTAAGTGAGTTTACTTTTACGCCCCACTCATCAATATTCCAGCTATATGGCGGTGGTCTGTAAATAATCGAGTCTGGACCAGACAATCCAGTGATCAATAACACGAGTCGAGGTGAAGAGGTTTCATTGTAACATATATACTCCAGTTCGCAGGTGTGGAATCTTGCACAGTCCGAGGCATGGGAGTGTTGAATGTATTCAAGGAGTGAAGTACGGAGATAGTTGCACGTATTCGTGTGGTCCAGGCTACGTACTGAACGGGACTTCCGAAAACACCTGCGGTTACAACGGGACCTGGGAGCAAGAATCTCCAACATGTACATGTAAGTGCACACGTTGCAGAGTGGTTACATTATAATTTTATTATTCCCTTTTGAACCAATGGCACCCTTTAACTCTGAAACTTTTAAACAATATTGGCTCGCTCAGTAAGTCATTTTAGATTGAACACTGACAAATGTACTATATAAGCATAATATAAGAAAACCATTCAAGTGAATATGTGAATATCAAAATATTCACAAAGACGTTCTGAAATAACTTTCCAAATTCTTCATGAACCGAATAAAATCATTGTCTTCTTTTTCGGTTTTAAAACATGGATAAAATTGTAATTGATGAGAATTGGCAACTATTTGCAAAATTACTTTAATTATATTAATCTACCAGATACTTATGTGTTAAATACCATGATCATGCACGCATAAATGATCAAATACCTTTTTTTTTGCGTTATGGTATGTCTCCTGACCATTTTATGTATCATTTCAAATACGAAATAATTAATTCTTTACAATACACATTTAAAGAGAAGCAGTGGATCAATTTGCCTTCGTATCTGTAACATCAATGTCGAATTATACGAAAATTCATCGACATCATTCAGTGACAACATGCCCAACTCTAACAATTCCGGAAAACGGCCTCCCCTTCGACTGTGATGATGGAGGTAACTACGGAAGCATCTGCATCATCAACTGCAACACCACAGGGGATATGCGGCGACAAGAGACCGTACCACACGCTGCGATGGAACAACCTGGTCACGAATCGACTTTGAATGTTCTGGTAAGCGTTTCATGTCAATTTGGAATAAATTTCCACCAAAGATGATTTTATTTCGAAGACATATCTGTCGTTTGTTGATGTAACGAGTTGATAAAGAGAAATCAAGATGGTCTCCTTGAAATAATTTACACAAAGAAGAAGGTGTTTGGCAAATTTTCAAATCAATATAGTGTTGTCATCCAAAGTGTAATCAGTGAGGTCACCTGTTGTGAAGACACATGACGATAAGTCCAGGTTCTGGTATCCTGTGCGACAGTGTTTCAAACTTAGTGAATGCGTGAGTGAGTTTAGTTTTACGCCGCACTCAGCAATATTCCAGCTATATGGCAGACAATCCAGGGTTCAACAGCATGAACATTGATCTACGCCATTAGGATACGATGATATGTGTCAACCCAGTCAGCGAGCCTGACCACAAGATCCCGTTAGTCGCCACTTACGACAGGCATGGGTCACTGAAGATCAATTCTAACCCGGATCTTCTCGGGTCGTTTAAAATTTAGACAAGATATGCCATTTGGATGAATCGGTCGCGGATGTGGAATTACTTGTGGACTACAAAATGGAAGCTTACCCATGTTAAGCGACGCCAATGCAGCAGCATAATACTGTAAAAACTGTTGCCAGGCAAGTCATGTTCATGCTCAGATCATTGTACTGCAACAAGTTACTAAACAACCCAATATGTTTACTAACATAGCGACCACTGCTTTGTGCAGGCCATGTACAACTGTTGCAGGAACATTTGTCCCGGAGCATAATTTGGGAAAGATGTTCTACATTATTGATATATTATTGTCACCCAAGTTCTTTTTATAACCCAGATTGCTCCATAATAACACCAAATAATAGCTATGAGTTGAATATACTTCTCTGTATTCAATTACTGATGATAGCGCAAAAGCATCATTTAGGGTATCATGATAATAGTAGCATTTAGTTTCTTCATCTTGAAGATGCTGAGGATCCTGTTTTCACGAACTGTCCAACGCAGACCATACATCAGCCAGCAGTTCCAGGCCAGAACGGAATGGTTGTGACCTGGCCGCATGTTATTGCCACTGACAACTCTGGTGACCTCCCTTCTATCCAGCCGTTGGGTCTGTACAATATAACCTCTGGGTCTTTTTCCCCTGGCGTCCATCTCGTCGCATTTGATGCTGAAGATGCCACCGGAAATAAAGCAACACGGTGTACCTTTGCAGTTAACATTGAAGGTAAGATGAAAACAACTGTGCTCTCTTATACTCAGCTGCTTTTCGGGATTTACTCCCATCTTAAGGGATCAGACCGCATCACAGTCAAGCACAATTTGCTTGATTGTGTAGATTTCTCTATCACGAGGGATATTCATTATCATTCTTCATTTTTAAAGGATCTTTTTATCAATGTCAGTGCCCAATTAATTCTGTTTTTTTAAGGAAACAGGGTTGTTTTCAATTTTTTTATATATACAGTATACTTTGTAGATATATTGAAATTGGAACAGTACATCTCAACTGAAATTGTTAGCCGTTGTATACTCAAGGTGGGTGGTTTTGGTGTTAAAGTATTGTAAAATTATTGTCCTCGTGAGAGGGTACATAAGTCCCGAAACATGCAAAGAACTTTCTTTTAAACGGAGTATACATGTATGTGTTATTTTAAAATAAGGCCAGATTTGTCTCCGATCTGAAAGGATAGTGTAAACCCAGCTAGGTTCTATGCGGGGGCAAACATACTGTAAGTCCCCGTGGTCCCTAGTATGGTGATCTATAGCGATCTATAGCAATTTAAATTGTGTTTTTGACACATAAAACTGATCTGAAACTAGTTTTGATTAATCTTTTTGTTATACTGTCCTTCGATGACAGCATTTTAAAAATATAATATATTTATTCTCAGTATATAACTTCTTGGCGTCAAGATGTTGCTAAAATAATGCCGATGTGACGTAAAATTTGAACTCACTCACTCACCTTCCGTGATCAAGATAAAAACATGGCTACAGGAACAAGCACAGTAAATACAAACGCCTTACAACAACTTGTAATCTGCTTAGCTTTTAATTCTCTAGGGTTAATAAACAAGGTGTTTACTGGAATATATGACGTTTCCCTGACGACGGGAATAATGGGTTTCAGTGCTCATTTTTTCAAGGTTATAGATGGAGCTCAATTGAGCCAATTGTGGCTTAACTGTATAGGTTTGACTGCATTCTGCCGCATGGCACCTTACAACCTCTCTTTCACAATTATTAAAAAAACAGGTACAAGTGTGCTATTATTGAGCGTGAATTCCAGGGTTCTAAGCGAAATGATATTATACACAAGTGACGTTTTAGGACGCGTAGACAACTGACAATCAATACTTACAGCTAAGGAGTGTTATCCCCCGGAGTTGGAAGGGGAGTACCTGACCATGCCCACTTGTGATCCTCCCTTTTACCTGGGTTCCCACTGTGAGGTGAACTGCCGTTATGACTTACCTGTGGTTGGGAAGAACTTCATCACCTGTAGTGAGACATCTGGCAGCAACCCAACCCAGTACTGGGACTGGGGGCAGCATGACACTCCTCCGAAGAACAAACCATTTTGCAAAGGTATGTCGTATGTTAAGAGTGTTTGTTGTGCTCTATTGTGTCATTTATTTATTTATTTAAAAATAAACGAATAGGTTTTGCATATATAAGACGGTGGTCAGCTATACACTGGGCATTCGCTCCTTTCTGCCATTCGGTTCCAGTTCGTGTTTAGGCATTTAGACTACGAATGACTTAGATGTTAGATGTGTAGGTTCAATTGGCTATTGTGGCGTTAGGTTGTTGAACTTGCATTCGTGTGTTTAAGGGTTAGCGATATTTAGCAGTTCTTTTCATTTCAAAGTTCATTTAGAATCGCTTAAGAGAATCACGGCAAGTTCCATGTAAAGTTCATAGTTTTCGCACTTTTAATAATTTTCACGTTTAGTTCCTTGTTTTAGGCCAAAAGGTAAGTTCGAAAATTTAGTTGATTAGGATTTCAGTTAATTTGCATGGCTTTGCCCAATCGTTTTATTTTCCACTGCGCAACAATATATATATTGCAACAATATATAATCACATAGATAAATAAAAACAGACTGCCTCTTGCCTCCAACATGTTTCGTTCTTTACTCTTCAGGGAGATTGTAGCAGTAAATGTATATATTTATCTTACCTCCATGTAAAATACTTTAATTTCATTGGTCAATGACGGTTAAACAAGTTTCCGTGTCACCCTATGTTAAACCTACAGAATTCAGTGTCTCAAAATGTAAACGGGGAAATTGTGGGACTTGTGAATATATACTTGAAACTTCATGTATAAAGTTCAAAACCAGGAAACAATTATTTCATGTACGCTCTAACATGGACTTCTCCGCAAAACATATTATTTATGTTATTATATGCCAAGGGTGTCATGGAGAATACATTGGACAAACGGAGTGCTTGAGTGACAGAATGCGCGTCCATAAACAACAGATTAAGCACCCAAAAACAAGGTGCATCCCCTTAAGGGCTCACATCGACAAATGCGCAGCAGGAAAGGAAATAAAATTTAAAATACTCCCTTTCTATAAAATGAATACTGCTGACGCCATGCAGCGTAAAGCTAAAGAAAACTTTTTCATCAAAGAATTGTGTCCATCGTTAAATAGGTAACGCAATGTGTTTGAATATTATACTTGTTTTCATTGTGCTACTAGTACTGTCATTTTAAAGCCGCCAATGTGACGTCATGGCAACGCCGCGTCACAACATTTGTATACAGTTGCATACAGTTTAACATCAGTGAAACATATTCTGACAAGCTTAAAACTGCTCTAAAAATGTCAGTTATGTTTAAGCTGAGTATGCAAACCACTCTATGTATAAAAGAGCTTAAATAAAGCAGTGAAAGTCGGTAAAATAAATCTGTACAAAGTGAACACAAAAACAGCTGATCGAACGGTTCTCGAACTCCGGGCACTGCATGCGTCATATATTACTGAAAAGAATGTGCAGATGTCGTGTATGTGAACAGCTTCGTTTTGGTGTAAAGTTTTGTTAAGAATTCACCAATTCTTCACTGAGTTTCATCATTTATTGAACTCATGACAATAATGGATTATGGATTTGTTTTACAATACATCAGTTCATGTGTAAACAGTACCCTTAAACAGTATGGAATATTTTGCAAAATCTTGTTTTAAACAGTTGACTGAAGTAAGTGGCTACGTTTACACTAGTGAGTCTAAACTTGTTGATGGGGAGTATATTTCATCAGCTCATACGACGTGGTGGACGCCCAACAGCTCACGCCAGTCCCCACATATTCGATATTACCTCAAGAAAAAAAACCCTACCGTTTATTGTCACGCCTAAATATAAATTCCTTTCTATACCGATGACATATGTCTGAATATTTATCTGTCTACCAATTCATAACGTTGATATTATTATTATTATTGGTGTCAGGGTATTTGACTTCATTACTAAAGAGTAAGCCAAGCTTAACCTTACCCGTTAAGATCCGGGTTAGAATTGGTCTTCAGCGACCGATGTTTGTAAGAAGCAATTAACGGGATCGGATAGTCAGGCTTACTGACTTGGTTGATGCATGACATAGTAACACATTTAACCAATATGGGTGTATGGCTTTGCCTGTTGGCGTTTATTGACTCTACTTGCTCATAGTTAACTTTGTTTAATATGCAATTTGATTCTTCATACTTTTGACCTACTTGGATGTTTTACCCGTTCACTTGCATTGGATCTCATGCTCATGACCAACATTTTTTTTGCTCACGACCAGTGTTTTTTAATCTCATTATTCCTATGGACAGTATTTTTTTACCTACCAGCATGTTTACCTGTTTACTTACCTTGATTCTTCTAGCTCATAATCAGCGAGAGTGTATCGCCTGAAAATCTTTTGACCATGGCTCGGCCCAATAATGTGTTTCATACTGAGTATGGGTTCTAAGGATGTCCGGCTCATCGTAACCTTGTGAGACACTCTGTGGAATATCATACTGAATTTGAACGTAGTCTTACAATTTCAGTTGAACAATGCCCAGACCTTCGGCCTCCAGATCATGGTGCACTGTCGTGTTCTATGTTTGCCAGCCAGCGAGTCTGCTACCTGCACTGCAACACTGACTACGATGTACCACAGACAAAGTATGATTATGAGTTTCGATGCACTAGTGATTCTAATGGATTAACAGCATGGAACGCAGGACATTATTATTTGGTCTCTGAATGCACAAGTGAGTATGTTATGTATTCCGTTGACACACAGTAGTGTTCATCACTCACAATTTCGAAAAGAAACGTTCGAATAAAATGTATTTTTGTCAGATAGTTTGGAGTTAAATATCTTCCCCACTCAAACAAATTGTTTCAATTCAAAGTGGAAGATCCCTTCTTAGTCAGTGAATGCGTAACATGTTTTTTTAACGCCATCAGAGTTCAAGCAACATCACAACAATAGGACAAATAATCGTTATATTGAAATTAATATTTTTCACAGAGATGCTACCATTTCTAAGGCATATGAGGCGACTTCCGGTCTATTTGTGGTATGAAGGAACGTGCGAAGGTGCAGAGGAAAGTATAAAACAAAGTTTTAAACTGAGGGCTGTAACGACCATGAACCCTATCTGTCTTGGGTTGGGTGCAACGCATTGTCGTGCAGTCAATGTGAAGGTTTACTGTGGTAGCAGCCGAAGACGTCGCCATGCTGCTGAAGCATTGGTGAATGATGCTTCAAACAAGAAACAAACGGAAAGACAAAAACGGTCTGTACTGGAATTACAGGATCGTGTACGACGATCTCCCGCATTGCACTATGTGGCTTTTGATGTAGACTTGGAACTTCCTGACAACCCAGCTCTATCTGACGCAGATCAAACAGCACAAGCAACTGCAGTTCTTAATAGTCTGTACCAAGCTTTAAGTGAAGACAGCTCTTTCACTGTGAATGGTGAAGTGATCAGTCCATTGGGAATGATGCCCTTGGAAGAACAACCACTATGTGGTGAAGGGTCCACCAAACCTAGAGTGTCCGAAGAAGGGTGTGGTGAGTAGTATCGAATCCAAAGTCCTTATTAATACCTGTTCCAAGAGTAGTTGGTTGATTTAATTTAGCTTTCAGCTTTTAGCAATATTCCAGCAATATCACGGCGGGGACACTAGAAATGGGCTTTACACGTTGTACCCATGCGGGGAACGAACCCGGGTCTTCAGCGTGACGAGTGAACGCTTTAGCCTGTTCCTAGAGTAAGCAATGTTAGTATTCTCGTCAGACAGTGAAGCAGGGACAGGGATTATCAACAAACAGCTTCCTGAACTAATGTAGAAGCAGACCATAAATTAAATCCTAAACCTTTTATAAAGACTTAATGTACGATATTATCGATAACAGAATTTTCAGATCGATAATCATCCATATTTTTCCTATCGACATTTCCGATCATTTTAGCCAGCCATAATGTTAAGCTCACTCCCTTACTATGACACTTCCTGTTGCAATGACTCATTCAGTTTCTTCCCTTATAACATCGTCTGTCCCAGTAAGGGTATATATTTGTTGTTCATCCACGACGGCTCTGTTACAGTGCCATGCCCTACAGGCAGTTACTACACGGACGAGCTGTGTGAATTATGCCCTGTTGGATACTACCAGGACACGACAGGTTCCACTGACTGTAAGCAATGTCCAATCGGCTTCTCGACTCTCAAAGAGGGCAGTTTCAATGAAACTCAGTGCTTTGGTAAGTGGAGATCAGGGTAAACTAGATATGGTTATAATGATAATGTCTCAACCATACGGTGACTATTCCCTGCTGTGGAACATGTATTATCTGAACGCAGACTGCATGAACAGCAAACAAGAACAGGAATTGGTCTTCGGCAAGCCATGCGTGTCATACGAGGCGACTAACGGGCACATGCCATCGTGTCCCAATTGCGTACGTACCCAGCTAACAATATTTCACGTTGTCACCATCTTATGTTTTAACGTTATTCTGTGGACTCCCATTTACGTTGTCACAACCTTTAGACGTGACGTTGCGCAGTGACATGATATTAACGTTGACAGTAAGAATGGAAATTACGTTACTGTGACTTCAATACATATATATGGGATGGTAATCATGTAATATAATAGAAACATAATGCACTACGGTCTGATTTTCTGCAGAAATTACGATCGGAATAATTCGATGTCACTCTTGTTCATTTGAGACTTTTCCAAAATGGCATCAGTACAACCGTTAATAGTTTGCGCTGTGACTGTGGAAAGCATTTTGGAGAGCATGACAGCTGTGTTGTTACAGAGATGTGTGGGCCTGGTCACGTTTCTCCCACTGGGTTGGTCCCCTGTTCAAGTTGTCCAAGGGGAACATTCCAGCCGGATACCGGGAACAAATCCTGTACAGCCTGTCCCCCAGGGCTGACTACCGAGACAGCAGCGTCAGATACCCAAACGGACTGCGTTGGTGAGTTGACATGTTTAGTGCATGGGTGAATAAGTAATCCCGCGCCAAATTCGTCTGTCTCTGGACCGCCCGATATAAACACTGGTATCCTTTGAAAGCCTCTTTCGTCTCATGGCTTCCTTATTCTATTCGGAACCGCTTCAGAAACAGAGCCCCAATCCCTTGATCGCCCAAGTATTAACACTGATATATACTCATGCCAATAATGGTTGTCACCCTCCCCCCCAACCCCTCACACCTCCCCACCCACATCCCTCTCCAATAAAAAATTGAAGGGGTGACAACCATTATTGGCATGAGTATATTTCGACAGCGCATTTCATCCCATTACTTTTTAATTCAGAAAAAGGCCCCTCCGACCCTCCATTATAAACCGTCTAGTAAGGGATATGGATGTGTTCCTTTGCTAATTAATAATAGCTCTGCATTTAATCATGTGTTAATTAATTCACTCTTCTGCCTGGCCTAAATTTGAAAACTACAAGCCTTCAAAAATTAATGGAATCGCGATATTTCTGTAATCATGTCGTAGCTCGAGACATTACAATGGAGGGACCCGTCACACTCAACATGACGTCTGTCGCACAATCTGACATCTGCGAGTTCACCTTGGGAATGTGGGTCAAGGTCGAAACAGACGGGAACCAGGCTGAGTTTGAGGTGTTCGGCGCAGATACTGGAACGTCCCTCCGACTTCAGCTATCATCCGACATCCACGTCAACACAGAGGTAAAGAGGTCATACACAAGTGTATGATGTTTTAAGAACTAGCGATGAAACACATTGTCAATCAGATTAGTACACATGGCCACATATTGCCCAAAACATGCACATTCTAAATAGGGGTGGTGGGGTAGCCTAGTGATTAAAGCGTTCGCTCGATACACCGAAGACCCGGGTTCGATTCCCCACATGGGTACAATGTGTGAGGCCAATTTCTCGTGTCCCCTGTAGTGATATTGCTGGAATATTGCTAAAAGTGGCGTAATATTAAACACACTCACTAAATAATGCACATTTTAGCAAATAGAAAACCTTTGTCCAAATATGGCTCTCGTCAGATTTTAATCAGATGCCAAAAAACCCATCCCGGTGTTTAATTTGAGTAACTAAAGTACTGCTGAATTAATAGCTTGAAACTTGAGACATACATTCAGTATCATTATATTTACAACCTTTAAATGGTAACTAACATAGCAAGAACTCGAGTGAGTGAGTGAGTGAGTTTAGTTTTACGCTGCACTCAGCAATATTCCAGCTATATGGCGGTGGTCTGTAAATATTGGAGTCTGGACCAGACAATCCAGTGATCAACAGCATGAGCATCGATCTGCGCAATTGGGAACCGATGACATGTGTCAACCAAGTCGGCGAGCCTGACCACCCGAATCCGGTTAGTCGCCTTTTACGACAAGCATGGTTTACTGAAGGTTCATTCTAACCCGGACCTTCATGGGTAGAACTCGAACGACATTGAGTGATTGGATCGGATCTAAACCAGTGGGTATCTTGTATCATTGCAGTGACAACACGGTCCTTCAAGGTGTTCTGTCACAGATCTGGACCCAAGTTACACTGATCTGGACCGCCGAAAAGGTCACCATCTTTACCAACGGTCAAGGGATATGGGAAGGAGAGATGACATCTCCTTGTCCTATCCCAGCCCAGTCAAAGATGAGGATCACGGTCGGAAGTGATGTCTGTAAGTCACTAAAATGTCTTTACTTGAAACTTTATTGTTTTCTATATTTATGTACCATAAGGCGAATTTAAAAAAGATTAAATACCTACTATGAACTAGAAGTAATATCACGATGTCATTTTAAGGATACTGTGGAAGGAAAGCATATCAACTGCGTCTATTTCAAATGTAAACGGGGCAGTGGGGTAGTCTAATGGCTAAAGCGTCCGCAAGTCGCGCTGAAGACTTGGGTTCGATTCTCCACGTAGGTACAATGTGTGAAGACCATTTCTGGTGTCCCCCGTGGTGTTATTGCCACAATATTGCTAAAAGCGGCGTAAAACCATACTCACTCACTAACTTTGGTTAAAACTTCTGAAAATCCAAGATAGGTCAACTACAGGATTGCAACCCACGAATGACACAAATCTTTTCACTTACCAGAAACAATTAGCCATCTTGATGCAAGAGTGGCGAGTGGTGAGCAACCATACCACCTGTGTCAACAGTGGACGTGTTGTTGCAGCATTTGTTGTGCTTGTTTTTCTCCAGATGTTCATCTACGTGGTTTGGTCGTTGTGCCCTCCGTTGACGTTGCCCATGCATCCACACTGGCGTCTTCCTGCTCAGCGCTGCTGTCTGGGTCTGTTTTCTCTGTGGAACATCTGGACATGGTTCAACTAGCCAATGTTTATGAAGCAACCCCTTCAACATGTACTGGTGAGTTATATATTGCTTCAACCAATCATCCAATTTCGTAAATCACAAAGGATAAAATGACCGAGACTGGATATGATGGCTTTGAATAATACTCAAATAATGGTAATTTGTGAACTTGTGAAGATCCGGATTAGAATCCGACCTATACTTGTAAGAGTAGACTGACGGGACTAACAAACAAATAAACAATCTGTTTGTGTGTCAGCTGAGGCGGAAGGCTTGGTGGTTGATATTTTTCCGATAAAATTGGCAAACTCGGTGAGGTCCGCAGGAATATGAAAATCGAACCCACGGTAAAATGATCATAACACGACAGAGGATGCAACTCTGCAGACGAAATCTGGACGATTAAGGAGCGAACTATTCCTTCTTGTTTAGTTAACAGGATCTCTTTTCCTCAGCTTATGGTACTTCCAGGTTGAACTTATATAAAGGTGTGTTTAAGCCCATCACAATTCATAGCTGGAGTCAGGTCGGTTGTAAAAACCTTCAAATCACAGAGATTGACCTCCACCTGGAAGCTCACTGTAATCCGTTTTAAGAACACCTGGTGTCAGCATCTCTTTGACGCTTCCATGTTATTTCACTATGTGACAGATGTATGATATTCTGAATTTAGATTCTGACCTATGCACTGGCTATTGTGGACAAAACGGACGGTGCTACCTGTCTTCCCCGGTATCGGCTTATTGTATGTGTAACGGTGGATACACAGGCCCTCTGTGTCTCACCCCTCCTGACCAGTGTATGGACAATCAGTGTGCCCAGGGGTCTACCTGCGCCGCAGGGTCGGGGGAGGACGAACTGTTCACGTGCATCTGCCCTGCGGGTACTACAGGGAGGCTTTGTCAAACTGATTTACGTAAGAAAGATTTTATATCCAAAATGCGTAGTTTAGAAGACTCGTTGGTGCAAGAATATTCACATGGCATACGAGCGTTTTAACCATTAAACAATCCCAGTTGTCATTTAGACGTGTTTTGGGTAGTTAAGGTATGATGAGCATATTTGTAAAAAATGTTTAAATTTTATATCATTAGTGACAGGGACGCTAACTTGGTGGTTTTGAAGGAAAAGCGAATACTTTGATGTCAATGGATGTTTAAAAATGGTACTTTTTGTTACCCTGCCTATAGCACGGCATACAGGGGATAATAAATACTGACCAACAATTAATCCGTTGGAATCTCATGGTATTTCAGCAGGCAAGACTTAAATCCGCGCGCACGCACGCACACACACACACACACACACACACACACACACACACACACACACACACACACACACACACACACACACACACACACACACACACACACACACACACACACACACACACATTAACCATCCAAAATACGGATAGGTTTATTTTATAACAGGAAACACGGTAACGACATTTTGAAAGACAGAGTAATAAATACAACATGGTTATTGTTTGAAGTGTCTTTTGACATTTATATATAATTTCTCTACAGCTGACGGAGAGTGGAGCATGTGGGAGGAATGGGGGGCGTGTTCTGTGACATGTGGGCGTGGCCAGAGGACTAGGCACCGATACTGTGACAGCCTCCAAGATGGCAGCAAACCGTGTGTGGGCAATGCAACCCTTGAGTCCACGTGCCGAATGGGACAATGTCCAGGTAAGTAACATACATGCATGTACATGTATGTATATGAATTTCAAGAGGCAGTTGAAGAAAAACAGATCACTATTAACCGCTGGTTTGGTTCCATACGAGGTTATCCATTGTTTTATGAGGTCCTGAAATATTAAAGTGAAGTAATGATTGTCTTTGTTGAAAGACAGGTTACTTTACAAAAATATCTTGTCTTTATAATAAACAATAGGTGTAAAGGAACAGTAAGGGAATCAATCACACATGGAATGGCATTTATAATTTAAATTGAATTAATTTCAGGATAAAACAAATTTTAAATGAAATAGATTAACTTACATTGCATGTTTGCCTGAATAAAAGCAAAGAAACTGACAGTGTCATCAGCGCTGTAGCAATTGCCAAGGAACACCAACACTTAAAACGAGTAGTAGTCAGCAAGAAACACTATTAGTAACATCTAGTTATTTATGAAAATAAGATTTCTTCATAAAGAGAAGAAGAAAAGTAGTTGATACAGTCAAACATTGCCCTTTTAGAGACTACATAGCATGAAGGCACCATCCAACTATGAAACAGATTCAATCCTTCAAGAATGTAGGTGTCATCATATGTATGGATATATGCAGTTCAAGCTCCACTGGCTCAGTGTTTTCCCAGGAGCGTGTTTACAGATACAGAAATTCATTCTTAAAGACCGTTGGACCATGGTCAAAGAAAAGAGTCAAATAAAGGACAAACTGTATACGCCACTTGTACCTAATTACATTTCGAAGATCAAGTGATTACTGAGGAAACTTACGCAAACGAGCAACATCACTTGCTTTTCAATCAGTTGATCAAAATGAATTATGACGATTCATAGTAATAAACCAAATAATAGATTTATGAATTGTTTATATGCTGTTAAGATAACTAGTGGTCTATATATGCTTTATAATACAATATATGTCTCTCCTCAAAGTAAATCTGTTGGCATTATGGATTGTTGTTTCTCTGAAATGTATGCAGGACTGACACCATTCATGCTTCTTTCATAACACACACAGATTGCCTGGCGGAGGACCTGTTGTACGGTCAAGACAACTTAAACCCTGTCTGCATGTCAATTGGTGGCAACCTAAGCTGCATTACTGGCTGCCCCGTTGGTCTGGTGCCATCACAAGATGACATGGAGTACAGATGTACTAAAGGTGTCTGGACACCAGGACGGGTAGCCCACTCATGTACAGGTCAGCTCAATGGGTCATCTTGGGAAGAACAGGTCCCTGGAACCTCATGCTTGTCGTATGACCAATCGTATACCGTTAACATGGAGGATTTCATTTAATTAAATGTTTCTGTTGTGAAGGGTATATTACTTACACAGGTCTCATGTGACTTGAATATTAAATATTGCTGCAAAAAGAGACAAGAAAGCGGTTGCAAGTAAAAACTGGATTATGAGTCAATTTTTATCTAGAACTCTGAACACGTTTAATCATAAACTGGATTTGTTCTGTTATAGCATGCAATCACGTAAGAAGATACCAGGTGACCATTAACTTCTCATACACGTAACCAGTCATTCATGGATAAGGCGGAGTACATACTACTACTACTAGTACTACTACTACTGTTACTACTACTACTACTGCTACTACTACTACTACTACTACTACTCATCGTCAACGTTGTCCTCCTCCTCCCCTATGCCATTCCATCATCATTATAGCACCAGGATAAAGGAATAACAAACAATAATACCACAATGTCTTGTATTTCTATTATATCATTAGGAATGCAATGTTTAATGATTAGGAACGTTTAATGTTGACTGAATATTCTATTTGGGATTCCAATTATTAAAAACTGCGGGGCGGTGAGGTAGTTCAATGGTTTAAGCGTTCGCTCATCACGCGAAGGCCCGGATTCGATTCCCTACACGGGTACAATGTGTGAAGCCCATTTCTGGTGTCCCCCTCCGAGGTATTGCTGGAATATTGCTAAAAGCGGCTTAAAACCCAACTCACTCACCCACTACTCCAACTGCCCTAAATGAAACTTAATTGTAAGAGAGATTCGAAAAAATACGAAAGTTAGTTTTCGGTTACAAAAAATGTGTAACTTCGGAATGAAATTTAACAGTAAAACTGATTTGTAGTGATATATTTGCTGGCAAATAATACTACAAATGTTTAGGTTCAATTACTAGTGACAAGAATCAAGTTTGTTAGTATGACCTTACTTTCTTCAGAACCAGAAGCCCCGCTCACAGTTCAGCTGGAGTATACCGCCGTGTATGCAGATGGAGTCTCCCAAACCTCCGTGAGTTTCTTCCTGGCTTGGCTAGCAACTGGCTTCTCTTGTGTGAAAGATGGCACCTGCAAGTGGAAGACTCGCGTTAACGCCTGTGATGAAACTATCAGGATCTGCTCGGAGAATGATGGCAACATACTCGGGGTATTGACCCTGTACATTGACATAGCTCCTGGTGATATTGACGTGACCCAGCTGCAGACAGATAGTGAGGGTAAATCGGCATCATTTACACTCTGTATTAGTCTTTTAATATTATAATCATTGAATGGTGTTTTGGTGTTTATTAATAAAGTGAGAAATACACCTTGGACTTTAACATGTAAATCGAAAAGGATTGTTTCTTTTTGTTACGATAGTTTTATTATATTGTATCATGTTATTATCATAATTCATGTTTCATAAACGATCATAATGATATAAAATACATGTACACGATTTCCTAAATATGTAGATATGTAGATAAGTGACTTGCAGGAAGACATTATTGTGTCGAACTTCCGGGTGCTTCAAAGTAAATTTAACGTTTAGGACCATGGGTTGTTCATGTATCACCCGTGAAGATCCGGGCTTGAACTGGTCTTCAACAACCCATGCTTGTCGTATGAGGCGACAAACGGGATCGGGTGGTCAGGCTTGCTGACTTGGTTGACACATGTCATCGTATCCCAATTGCGCAGATAGATTCTCATGGTGATCACTGAATTGTCTGGTCCAGACTCGATTATTTACAGACCGCCGCCATAGAGCTGGAATATTGCTGAGTGCGGCGTAAAACTAAACTCACTCACTCCTGCATTATCTTTTGCGGTTGTGTCGAACCTTGGATAACTCGAAATATTAATGTAGGTTCCATCAACTTCGACACAACAGTGTTAGACGCAGCATCTAAAATATTATCATACAACATAATATTATCTACATATGCATTACGATCTATATTTGTTAGTTTGCCAGATATTTAGGGACTAATGTTTATGTTGTCAGTGTCGCCGCACGTAGCAGAGGTACTCACTCCCAGTGGGGGCTTCGTTCATTACTCAAACGAGACTGACTTACCCACTCACCGTGACCTTGAGCTAGAGGTCAACAATGACGTCCTCGTGTGTCCATATGCTCACTCTCATGAATCGGACTGCGTGGCAGGTGTGTTCTTCTATCTGGTATTCAGAACAATAATGTTTTGCTACACAAGTAAATACTGATCACTTGATAGAAACTAAAAACAACCATATACCGTAGCATAATATTTTCTGTCAAGCCATGTGTGTCGAACCCGAATTTATGGTATTCCCGCTTGTGTCACCATTCATATAACGTTGTCCGGTTCCCCGTTGTTTGAACTAATTTTATTGTCCCAGGAATTCACAGATCACTTGAAATCTGTTCTCGTGAGTCAAACTAATTTAAAAAAGAAACAGCACAGCGTAGAATGTGTATCACCTACAATGACCAAAGACACCTGACGTTGTTTATTTACGTAACAAATTCCAAGAGAATGCATCGAACTATTTCTTTCGTCCCGAGAACCGCGTAACTGTACGTTCAACATTACCATTCCATGGGTATACTAATCAGTATAACTGTGTCACACAAAAAGAGAGAAAAGAACTATTCCAGCCGTGTCATAAAGACATCAGTTACATTGTCCAGTTTAGTAAATGTCCGTTCACCGAATCATTGGTATTTCATATCATTTATTTACACGATACTGTTACAACGATAGTCTCCAGAGTGCCCGAGCAACGGGGATGTACTGCTCACACATATATGTTACTTCCTCCAGTGTCAGACACCTTAGCCAGCATCCTGGCCGCTTGGAACAAACTGGACAAGGCCAACGCTGAGGTCAGCGTTACTGACTACAGCAACTTCAGCATCAGTCTCTCTGGTAACGTACCGGAACCTTTCCTTCTGGTGTATCAGAATGTCACCTGTAACAACGGCAGCATCCCTGGGAGCTTCCTCTGCTGTGAGTACGACCGTTCACATTCAGTCTTCGAGTGAAACTATGAATTATAGCATTTGGACATGAAGGTTCCATTCCAAGACATTCCCAAAGTATCTCATTCTGGAATCACATTAGTCCTAACTAATATCATTTCTCTAATATGGATAAGAAGAGCATAAGGAATACCCATTTAACACAGTTCAAATGAATACAGGGTAACAGTTTTCAAATGGAACACATTTTAATAAAACCAATTTGTACATTGCTAAAAAACATTTTATGGACATGTTGCATTGCACGAGTCTGTCAGCGCACGAACTGTTCGTCGTTCATTAATTTTTAGTTCGTTGAATCTATGATAAATGTGTTTGAGCATGTTCATGATTCACTTTATACTTAAATATGTATGGGCCTTTGACGAAAGATATTTTACTGATTGTCTGATCATCCCTGCCGACAAGAACAAAACATAATACATGTACTTGTAGTTAAATTTATAAGGGCATTTCTGACAATTAATAACGTGTTCATTTCAAATGTTGTGGAGATCCTGTGCGAGAAATTAGGCTCTTGTCACTATGGTAAACGTTATTATATTATATTTTACAGATTAAATATAGTATGCAGCAGAGAGGGTTCGGGTGATCCTGGCACAATCAGGCTGGTAAGGCTCATCATCAGATCAGGGCCCTTGCCCCCTCTACACGCAGCCCAGACAGCGAATGGGACTTCTCCCAGTAAACGCTGCCTAGTCAAACCCACCAAGAACTGTCCGGAGAATATGAAGGCTCCCCAACACTGCAGCCTTCTGCATTACCCAGAGTGTCAGAAGGGCTGTACTCCCCGTGGAGAACCCGGGCACTCTCCTGATCTGCGCCAAGAGATCAGGAGGTACCAAACCAAGGGCACCGAGAACAATGGGGAGCTTGACGACAGTGTGCTTGGGATGCAAGCGAGACATTTCAAAGGCGAGGTCCGCATGTTTATCATGCTTTTCCTGAATCTTGCCAATCACATTGGTGTCAAAAGGGACAGAAAATTCAATGATATATATAAATTCATTGGCTTTATCAAAAAGGAGAAGATCAGGTTTGTTGGCTGGAATTCTTATGAGGCTGTATATGGGCCTATTCCAGAGAAGTTTGAAAGCATCATTTTCCATGACGCCCTGGACATGTTCAGGGTCATACCATGGATGGACCTCGGAGTCAAAGCCACAGGCATGGCGGAGACGGTAATAAAAGCAGCGAGCCATGCTATCATGTCTTCTAAGATATGCTGTTTGTGCCAAGGAAGGGCATCCACTGACAAGGTGTTGGACAGTCTCTGTGAATTCATTGCACAATCGACATTTCATATTGATCTTTTCTTAAGAATAACATTTAGGCGATTACGAGTGGGAAGTGCCTGGTCCTGAGCATCAAAAAGAAAGCTCTCAGTTTCACATTTAAGACCAGCCGACTTCATCCAGGCGAAGGAGTTGGTGGGATTGCTATTCTGTTCCACACACTGCATGTACACACGATGCAATGGTTTCTTAGAATGCTTCTCCACAAATGACCGACTCTGGGCAGACTTGGTGAAGGACTTCTGGTTTATTCCCATCGCTGTACCGTCCAGCAGTACATTGCCATCAACAAAATCAACATCAAATTTCAGATTCTGTCCAACAAGCTTAAAATAGCTGTGGAATTCTTTGCTTTCATCATGAGTCTTCACATGCATTACCAGAGGATCATCCGACAAATAAATATGTGCAAAAGTACACAATAACATTCTATCATGAAGAGCCTCGACATTAATCAAACCCCGACCTCCAGAATTGATCGGCATGTATAAACGGTTGAGAGAGGAACGAGGGTGGTGGGCTGTGTTATCAGACATGATCCTTCTGGTCAGGCGGTCAAGACTCTGGATGTCTTGTTTTGTCCAATCAACTACTCCAAAGGAATAGGAGAGGACTGGCACAGCAAAAGTATTGGTGGCTTTGACCTTGTTTCGAGCATTTAGTTCTTTAAGCGAGATTTGTACTCGGCCCGAAGTTTTTCTTGAATTTGGGCACTCTGGAGCTTGTCACGAACTTGCATTCCAAGATAGGTGTAGGCCTGATCTTCCACAAGACGCTCAATAACTCAACCCCCTCCCCCACCCCACCCCGTAACTTGACCGATTCCCCATTAACCTTGCCTTGCCACGTTTCAAATGAAGAGTATTACATTTGTCGAGTCCAAATGTCATGCGAATATCTTTATAACAGGACTCCACAAGGAGGACTTGCTCTATCAAATTGGCAACTCCTTTGGCAAGGAGCTCGATGTCATCCATGTAAAGGAGATGAGTAAGCGGTGTTGGGGATCTGCGCTTAGGAGGTCCGAGATGGTAACCCTCGTCTTTATTGAGCAGAAAGCTCAAATAATTTAGAGACAAACAAAAATGCAAAGGACTGAAGGGGTCCCCCTGAAATATTCCCCATCTGATTGGAATAGATTCCGAAGTCTGCACCTGCCCTTGCAAGTACATCTCAAGTTGAGTCGACCAGCAACTCATTAAGGACTTGAGTAAATCAAGTAGTCGCTCAGGGAGCTCAATACAACGGAGAGACTTCAGAATCCATTCATGAGGGACAGAGTCGTATGCTTTTTTGTAATCAATCCAGCACACGGAGAGGTTGTGATATGTTTTAGCCTCTTCCAAAATCATTTTCTGTACAAGAAGTTGATCCTTGCACCCCCAACATCCATTTCTCGCTCACTTTTGCTTTCTATAAATTATATCATTGGAAGAGCAGTAAGATGACACGAGACTTGTTAAAGACCCTGTGAAAATTTTAAACTGAGTATTCAAACATGTGATAGGGAGGACGTTTGTGGGATCAGTCAAGTCTCCTTTTTTAGGAAGGAGTATTGTGCGATTATTATTATTGTATTATTAACAAATACCATAGTATAGACATTATCCTCCTTAAAGTGACAAATCATGATAAAAAATATTTTTTAAATAGAAGAAAAATGACGATGTGGTAAAACCAAATATACCAATGTTATTGTAAGACATTTGGAGGTGATGTAATCCTTCCACGAAGTCTGCATGGATAGATACATGATAGTTTGGTTACAGTGAAGTGTCCGGCCGGTACATACTTCACTGATGGTCTCTGTGAGGCGTGTCCCCCGGGTTCCTATCAAGCCGAGAGGGGACAGACTGAATGTAAAGCTTGTCCTGGTTTCTATACAAGTCACGAGGATGGGATTACAGAAGAAAGCATGTGCAGTGGTGAGCGATACATAATATACAGTGAAAGAATGAATGATATGCATGGCAACATTTAATCTGACTTTCAGACCATTTTTAGTAAATGTTCCAAAGGTGTTCGGCTTTTATAAAAGCTGCAATATGATTTTGTAGACAGCAGTTGCACAATTTACAATTTGCGAATATACATTGTAACATTCTGAACTATAGAAACACTTTAAACGCATAAATACCTGTGTAAATTTAAAACCTAATGTTACGCACAAACACAAATACTTATCCGTTTTACTTATCTTTCACTCGCAACTCTCTTACACAATGTGACACAAGTGGTATGTAGACAAGCAGTGCTGTAAGTAAAGAACATGAATGTAGTCAACCCTTCAATGGAAATTCAATCTTGTTATGCCAACGAGTCGGGACCAGACAAACCTAGAAACTGGTTAGATATGCATCGCCCCACGCCGTCAGGAAACGATACACTGCCTCGATGGTTATGTATGTTCTAGCCCCAGAGGATTCCGACCAGCGCATCCTTGTAACCAGTGGTCAAAACACGCTGACCATTATCAACGCCGCCTCGCTTACCCCTGATACATTGAACCTTGACATCACCACCGGCAGCGTCTCCAATCTCATCTACAGCGCCACCGACGACTTCTTGTACTACAGCACCTTAGCCCCAGCTTCGATCAGGAGAATGAAACAAGATGGAAGCCAGTCGACATCAATTCTTTCCATTTCAGGTAGGTACACTTTCACAAAATAACCCCAGTACTTTTATGATGTCGCTATTGCTTTTTTAAGTCGTTCATTAACAGTTCCAAAATGACTTCTTATCCGAAACCTGAAGGCTACATGTTCTTTTTATGAAAATTACACTTGAGCAGTTATTTGGTATAAATATAAATGCAGCGAAAGTAACAATATGGTCCCTCCTACCTTTCAATTTCTACGACTATTCCATATGGCGTCATATGACTCTTGACCGAAAGTCAGGGTTACGATTTGATAGCAGTACAACGATATTTTTTGTGCAACGATACGTTTAAAGTTAGTAATAGTTATGTTATCTTTTGTCCATTGCCATGCCTCGTATAAAATTAACCTTAAATAAGTTACAATGAATGTAACATCATAAATACTCTTACATTTAAAGATCACGAATAATTATTATAAGGATGACACTTTTACCAAAATGTCCACGGTTGTCCACAGGTCAAGAGATCACAGGCCTGGCTGTAGACGACAGGTCCGGGATTGTCTTCTTTACCCTGACTAGTGGTAGCCTCCTTGGTGTGTCCGCTGACGTTGGGGGTGCCAGTTTTATTCTCAGCGGACTCAGTGAACCACGTGACCTCGTCTTTCACCAAGAGAAATTGTGAGTTGCACTGCATTGTGTGGTAAAATTTACAAACTCTCCTTTTCATGTACAGCGAAGTCAGTTATGTTGGCTTAAACATTTTTCATTTCCTGCGCCCGTCACATACATGTTTTATACAAAAGTTTGAGGATAAGTAGCGTTAGGTGTTTGTACTCGAATGAAGGACAATCTAAGATGTTGTGCTGGATTCCAGTGTTATGTACTGGGCTGAAGGGAACACGATAATGCAGCTGAGGTATGGAGAGACTTCAAGAACAGTCGTCCTGGAGGAGGATCATCCTATCAAACATCTTAGTCTCGACACTGAAAGTAAGTGTTTGAAACGGAATATCCAATCAAGCGTCCTAGTCTATGCATTTAGGGTAAACCTTTGAGGAGAAATATTCAGTCATGCATTTTAGGCTCAGAACTGATCGTTAATTTTAATTGCAATATACATGTACTCTAATATCTGAGTTCGGTTTAACCGGGGTTACAACATTCAAGGCCTCAGTAAAGCTTTCAAGAAGTTTTATGATTCATATGTGAAGGAAATATTCAAATTTGATGCATCAGTGACAAAAACGATGTCCAATGCAATTCCTTATTTTGACCACCTTTATGCTCATCTTTTCGCAAACATCTCGTATCATCACTATTTCATAGTGATTGATAAACACATGCTCTGTCAATCGTATCGCATGGGGACAATCATTGGATTGTCTGATCCAGACTCGATTTGTATACAAACAGCATCGTACAGCTGTAATTCTGCTGAAACAAACATCTACTCATGATATAGAGACAATTGTACAATTGTACCTGCTTTTAGCAGAGTTTTCTTGTGGATGTGGAAAGAGGTTTGTCGCTTCTATTCACATCACGGTGTGTCAGCTCTTATGTGGGAGGAAATCCACTTCCGCGAACACCAAGATCGTGTGTAGGATACTGCAATTATTGCCAAGGAAAATATGGTATCAGAAGCAGCAACCATAGGTTTGTGTCATGCCAAGGGCAAGTAGCTATATACATCGAATTGTCTTAGGCCGCTGGGTTAACCTGTCCCCTGACTATTCAAGATATATAGCATTCAAATTGTAATACAATCTTAGATATTTTAAAAGCCTTTCTAATACTTAATATTAGATTACATTTAGATATGCTACTAATGGCATCTGTGATTATCTATTGTATGTTTATCTTAAAGTTTACTTGAGGCAAATTGTATTTTTATAACTAAATATGTTGGTTCCTCTGTTAATACATGACACCTCAAGAAATGTCACATCTCAGACATATGCTGACATTTTGGACAATTTATACTCACCAACCATCTTGTAATCTTGAACGAGTGAAATATCAGTTTGTTTTGCGTCTTTATCTGACAGTGGAAAGATTGATGTGGTTCAGTAACGGCGATTTGAAGAGCTGCGACACCGACGGGACTGGCGTTATCTACCTCGTCGACAACGCCAGTGATCTGTACGGGAAAATGAACAACTACTATTTCTACGTCGACGCCAATTCAAAGTACGTCATTCACAAAGATGGAACTGATATCTATTAACGTTATTTATAACACATGAAAACGTAATTTGCTTACATTGGTGGTGGGACTGACTAGCCTTTATAACGTTGGTTCTTCGCGTCAAATATCGGTGTTTGATGCCCACATATATATATGGTGTCCTCGCCATGATAATGCTGGATTGTTACTTAATGCGGCGTAAAACCACAGTCACTCATATCTTACAAGTATGGGGTAGGGGCAATAGTATTATTACATGGATATTTTCATTCCGATAAACCAATGGGAGTAAACTTGATATTATAATCCGATAAATATGCAAATGTGGTCATCTTGGAGGAAGAAATTGTGGAAAGCACCGTACATGCTCAGTAGGATATTTACCAATTACGTTTAGAGTGAGTGAATGAGTTTAGTTTTACGCCGCACTCGGCAATGTTCCAGCTATATGGCGGCGGTCTGTTATTAATCGAGGCTGCACCAGTGATCAACAACATGAGCATTTGGGAACCGATGACATGTGTCAACCAAGTCAGTGAGCCTGACCACCCGATCCCGTTAGTCGCCTCTTACGACAAGCATGTGTTCCTGGAGATCAATATTCTAACATAACATAATTCTAATAAGTGTGTGTGTGTGTGTGTTTAACGATAAGAACCTAACCATTGTCCTAAATCTGTGTATCTTTCCTTTATCATCTGTCAAACCTACCGCTAAAGAACAATGGCTAATTCAACTAAACTGACGTAAAAATCCAGTAAGTGGTATTTTGGGATTGTTTTTCAGTGTTTTGAATGTAACTTAGAAGTCACAAACATTGTGAACAATGCGTTGTTTTTTCTGTTTGTCTATTTTTTTTGTACGTCAGTGTAGTTCGTAACTTTGACATCAACTTACCCTCTGTTTCGATTTGCAATCATCGACAATGACACTATCATTTTCTTACTTCGTCCTTTTGATGAAATCTATAATTAGAACCTTAAATATGTACTAGTTAAGATTTTTAACGATCTCAGTTCATCTTATCATTAATTTCAGGCTGATCCGAGTGACTGTCGAGGGTGTTAACAGGAGTGAAGTGACGACGCTGCCGCCGTTTGTCACAAGTGTCTCCGTCGTCTCGACCGTTAAACCGGAACTTGGTAGGTGCCATATCATGTCAGGATCAAAACTTGCTGATACTAAAGAACAATTCATTAATCTGGAGTTTGGATACACGCATTTGTAGCTATGTTCATGAAAGAAATTGTAAAACCAATTCCGAAATCAGCTATCACGCGTGGTTGTTTGGTGTTTAACACGCACGGAATATTTCAGCTTTTATTACATATTCGAGTCTGAACAAGACACGTCATTGATGAAATTGTTGAGTATTTGCCTACGTTAGGAGTTAGCAATAGGACTTCCGATTACCTAAGATCGTGTTAGGTCTTTGAATGGCGTTTAGAAGTGCTGAGCGGGTTAGGCGGCTGACTTCGTGTGCCGGCGATTAGGTGCCTGACTCTGAGGGTGTGGGTTCGAATCCCGGATGGGACTCACCCCCAAAAGTACTAGAATTTGTACTTTACTAAGAATGTGTAATCTAATATATAAAATGTACTTATGTTACTTTTAGAAGTGATACACATAAGGAAGAGAGGTTTTTTATGGATGTCAACTTCTTTATAATGAAGAACCAAACGTTTCTGAGTATATCCTTACTCCTTCATCATCTCCTTCATTCACCAGATGAAGGAGTAAGGATGTACTCCGAAATATTAAAGAAGTTGACATCCATAAAAACACTGTCTTCATTAAGATCGTGTTTTAAAACTGCACCCTGTTCTGCTTCTTAGACACTGAAAGAGATATAAACTGAAAGAAACGATGCCTATCTAAACTCCCGATCTTTTGTTTTCAGGGCGACTGGAGTGTTTTGTAGGCGTCCACAACTGTGCTGGTTTGTGTTGGCAGACCAGTCATTACACGGCCAAATGCATCTGAAATACTACAGGACACGTTCCTTTCATGGTCCCGATCTACATATCATTCGTAACGTTACGATTTATCGCAGCTGTATATTAACTCACAGGCTTACGAATGTCAAAGCGCTTTCTATCTGGATCCTGGTCAGTACCAATCCCACTAACACTGGCCTGGGTCCCGATCCACAAAATATTCGCACCGTTACGACCTGTCGCAATTCTGTACTATTAAATCGTGGCTTAAGAATGCCATAGCGCTAAGAAGGCTCTATTAATTCGGACACTGAGCGCTACGACTATCGTAAGCCTATGTTAAAGTATGGGAGTTACGACCTTCTTAGTGCTAAGATCGTTTCTGCCACCGGGTCCAGGGCCTAGATTTTCGAAGCTCTCTTAGCGCTAAGATAGTCGTAAGTGCCATACAATAACATTAACTTACGGCTATCTTAGCGCTAAGATAGCTTCGAAAATCTAGGCCCAGGTCAGGAACAATCCCACTAACACCGACCCTCTGGGTCCGAAGTCACGAAGCGTCCTCGTGGTTACTGCCTACTCATGAGTTACGAATGTTGTAGCCCTACGAACGATTTGCTGATGGAGACCATAATCAGTAATTGCCCCTCTGACACTCGGCTCTAACGAAGCTGTACGCTAGCTGTAGACTTGCAATTAAAGTACGAGCAAACAAACTAACGTGTTCGTGTTACATACTACTGTTCAAGCTACTGGTAGTAACAAGCCATTCTCTCATTACGGGGACGATTGTACATCTATTATGATTGTTTCTGGTCGCGGAATGATGCATATTTGCTCATGCAAAACTACTCTGCAATTGATGTTTATAATTTATTGTTAAGCGTAAACTGTTACTTTATATTTGTGCTTGATATTTAAAAGGAATCTATTTTTTAAATAAAACAAACAAATACATTTTGTTGAGTATCTTAAAGTTTATAACCTGCATGTTAAACCCGGGGCTAGATTTTTCGTTGAGATCATAAAAATATTTTCTATTGATTTTAGAATAATTATGTCTATTGCAATGCTAATTTGATAGCCTAATTTAACACGACTCTTACACTCCCTTGCGAGACAGACGTGCACATGTATGTTAATTGTGAAAGTGTGAGTATATAATCACACCTCCATGGGAAGTTGTGAACACATACAACCCTGCATTATGGTTGGGCTGTCTGTATGGAACATCCAGTTCCACAACATAAATGATCTTATTTTATAAATGAAGTTGAATTCACCAGTTAACGATATCCTTTTAATCATCGGTGGACGACGCTTTTGTGCAATTTAAGTTACCTTAAATGGATATTTAATCACTATTGTGTGGTTCGGAGAACTCTATTAGGATTTCGCACTATTATCACCCTGATTCACAGAACTGTATTCTACCGTGTCCCATTACATTCTCGCCAAGATGAAAAGAAGCAATGTCTGTTTTATGATCTAAGAACTAGGACGTTGCAGAGCGGTTGAAAGAACAGCGCCGTGCAATGTTAGACTCTATTCAAACCAGCCGTTGCTGGAGTATCCGTGTTTACTATGATCAATGGTGTACATATATAAGGCAAATATTATACCTCTATGGTAAACACGGCTAAAGTCCTATCGCCTTGTTGCACTGGATCGGTCTTCATAGAAATCGCATTCTATGAAGCATCTTGAAAATGAGTTGTGTTGGGCGTGCGCGCGCGCGTGTGTGTAATATTCTACTCCCACTCTTGTAGAGTGAGTGGTATGGTTTTACGCCGCTTTTAGTAATATTCACGGCGGGGGACACCAGAAATGGGCTTCACACATTGTACCCATGTGGGGAATCGAACCCGGGCTTTTATCGTGACGAGCGAACGCTTTAATCACTAGGCTACCCCACCGCCTCCTCCACTCTTGTAGTAGGGTAGCCTGTTGGTTAAAGCGTTCGCTCGTCATGCTGAAGACCCGGCTTCGATTTCCCACATGGGCACAATGAGTGAAACCCATTTCTGGCGTCCCACTCCGTGATATTGCTGGAATATTGCTAAAGCGGCGGAAAACCATCCTCACTCGCTAAGAGAATAATTACTTTAATTTACATTGTCACACGAGGTACTGTACAATGTGAAATATGAGTATAGACAGCACGTTTCGGAGAACAGGGCCCAAGAGACGTTGATGTAGAGACAGATCTGCATGTATGTACAGACAGAACCTCACAGGTGATAAAACTGTGACAGAACTCCGTATAGTTATTATATTACGAACAATATCGGTCAAATCACAGAAAAGCAATTGTCACAAACCATCTTCCAGCTGCGTGGCGGCGGTATGTAAATATTCGAGTCTGGACCAGACAATCCAGTGATCAACATCATTAGCATCTATCTACGCAACTGGAACACGATGACATGTGTCAACCAAGTCAGCGAGCCTGACCACCCGATCCTGTTAGTCACCTCTTACGAAAAGCATGTGTTACTGGAGACCATTTCTAACCCGGCCTTCGACCATTGATATATCGTGATGTTCGGAAAGCGTGATTATGAACCGTGTCATCAGTTATTTGCATTTTAGTCAATACATAGTAAATCAAATCCTTCAATGGATTATTATTATAAAATCATTATATCAGAATTGAATTAATAAAATGATGCATTATTAGTTGGGGGATTAATGATAAGACATGTTTGGGAAGTGGGGGGTTGCACCATATATATTTTATACTACTTCAGCAAGAGGCAGAGTTGTTGACACGTCGTTTTATATTATCATAATATTATGACTGACCTGGATATGTATAATGCATTGATATCCTAAAGAAACTGTTCACCTCATTCTTTTTGCATTACCTAATCCTCGTCAGTTGACTGCACACATATAAGTCATCGGCCATAGCTCCGTTTCAAAACAAAAGCGACAAAACCTATATCTAAACACATATAGGAACCGCTAGTAAAAGAGTTGCACACATTTCTAAGGGAGTTAACTCTTCCCGTACACCTGAAGTGGAGAGCAGTGGGTATCAGGTTGGCTTGACGACTGTCAATACGCAACTCCATCCAACAACTATAAATTACGTTGGATTAACTGTTTCAAATAACTCCCGCTGATGCACGTATGTGTTTATCAGTTTCACTTTTTCATTGCATTTTGCAGTTGTTGTAGTAATACGTGTTTTCGCTTGTACGTCTATATGTACTACTACTACTAATGTTGCTGCTGCAAGTACTACCACCACTCTTTTCAACATGTAATACCACTACTGACAGTTGTTTAAGTGAGAGACTTTGGTTTTGCGCCGCTTTTAGCAATATTCCTGCAATATCACGGCGGGGCACACCAGAAATGGGCTTCACACATTGTACCCATGTAGGGATTCGAACCCGGGTCTTCCACGTGACCAGCGAACGCTTTAACCACTAGTCTACCCCACAACCCGGCAGTTGTTTAAAATATCAATCACTTGAGTGTGTAGTCCAAACTCGATTACTTGCTGGTAACAGTTAAAATGTTGGAATACAGGCGTAAACAACAATAACAACAACAAGCAACTACATGACTAGTACTTATAGTACTGCTGCTACATATTTTGTTCCATATACAGTATTATACAAGTAGTATCGTAATATAGACAAGCAAACGTGGAAAGACAAAAGGCTAAAATACGATGTATATTCCTCATACATCATGTTTTTATTAATAAAACAACAGCAAAAAAAGTACAAAAACCATGCCCGTTACTCTCATCTCGACACAAATATCTCCCCACATCTAACTAGGTTCTGTTACTACCATTACTACCGCTGCGACTAGAAAATACATACTCTGCGTTCTGCTTTAGGCCATGACACCTCCCCATACTCCAAGTTTTGCTGTTGCCCCCGTATTCCAATGTAAATGTACCATGTATAGTTAGAATCCACACTATTGCATTATATCAAATCATGATATTTTCTTCATTTGTGAGGCAAATTAAGGATGAGTGCTACTGAATACCTATCAAGAATATTTGCAAGAAATAAGGCTATAGAAAATTTAGAGTGATCTGCGTTCAGCGAATATTTAAATTTAGGGAACATTAACCAAAAGTTGAATAATTAATACATTGTACATGATGGCAGCATTATTGCAAACCAGAATAGGTCCAGCTTGCACGGTCTGTGTGTGCGTGCATGCGCGCACGATGGACCTATGGACTATATCAATGCACGTGTAATATCCATCGTAGCAAAGTCTCCATTCACCAATACAAATGAACTATACATATAGGCGTATATATATCTAAGTCTTATTCGGATATGTCCGCATTCTCGCTCTTGCTAAATATATCAACAAGTGTCTGGCATTGCGTGTTTGTTCACACCTGTTTCCAAGTATGTATAAGTACATGACTTCAGAACGTTTATAACCAAAATATCTTCACACGTTATTTGAAGCGCCCTTATGTTTTGCCTCATGGATTGATAATGACACACTCCTACTATTTTTGTGCAGGAATATACCAAAAGTGTCTATTTCACACCAAACTACCTACATTCATCTGAAGATTAAAGGATATATGATAGACCTCGGTAACTCGCCTCTCGAGTTTTGGTACTGTGCCCATCAATATAGTGCTTGTGAAAAGGAAGTCAGTTCTAGTACCTTTAAGTACCAATTGCGTTATGCTATGCTTAGTATGCACAGGTTCCAGAGATAGTTGAGGCATCGTTATGATAAAATACATCAACAACATTTTCAACATGTAAAACTAACGGAGTCATTTACACTGTATTTGAGTAACCATTAGCCTTACCTTAGTTTTCTAATATATTATTCATTATTATAAAAAATGTAAAAAACTGTAATATGGAACACTTCATAAGTCACATAAGATGTGCAATACATAAATAAGAGTGAGTGAATGAATGGTTGAATGAATGGTTGAATGAATGAATGAATGAATGAATGAATAGTCAGTCACTACTACCGTGCTAATTTTAACGCCTGCATTGTCTCCACTTGATTATCATGTGCAACGTATTTCATGCAGTACTCCATCGGGGAAAAACAAATGTTCAAGACATTTATTTCATATCCCACAACCTATATTACGTCGATCATCCAAAGTAAAAACGCATGCTTTTAATCAAATAACACAACTTCAGTAGGGTAAAATTACTCCCAAAGATTGAACGAATATTATATATTATGTTTCATAGTCAGTAAAAATCATTAAATAATCTTGTGAAGGTCCACGGGGAGGGTTCATTATTCTCGCAAGTCAATCATATCAACATTGATTTATGCCTCGGTACCTTAGTCATTCACTGAGTTATTAAATGATTTCTCCCTGATGTATTGCGATATCCATCTAATGTAGAAATTGTGGAACATCACGTGTAATAATTCCTCGTATTTTACCACATGGAATCTGTTTGCAATAAAAAATTGCATACATCTGGCTGATTTGTATTTCAACATTAACATGGAGGTGGGCATTGGAACCATGCACGTTAACGAGTGAGTGAGTGAGTGAGCAATAACTATATCATTATGTCAATTCTGATATGGGAAAAAATTGATTTGGCAGATTCTTTTAGAAAAAGGTTGAACACAATTTAAGATTTCTAATAAATAATATCAAACCCATTCCTTTTTCAGAGCTAAATAATGTTGGAAATGTGCATTTAAAGTTTAATGACGAAACACCAT